CTTGAAACTTAAAAATAGGTTTCTGGTACAGCATTCTCTCATCTAATATTGCTAAATTAGAAACATCTTGTTACAGAGTGATGCAGAAAGACTAGTCTGTGCGTTTGCTACATCATGATTGCACAACCTCAATTATTTATTGTTAGGCTTCGCAAAGATCTATTTTAAGAGCCTCAACTTAATCTAAAATAATGTACCTAAAGTCATCAACTAAAGTTATTGTAACAAATTAACAAGTAGGAGATCAAATTTAGCAAGTTGTCGCCTATTATCACTTGTCCCACTTTATATTATCCTCATATAAAGCTGTTAACAATTCAGCACCATAATTTCTTATATATCTTAGAGAATAACATTTTCCCTATAAAGCATTTCCCTGTAAGACTGCAAGTTTACCCAATGCTCCTGAAGTTTGGATATAACGAACTGGACAGTGAGCCTTCAGTTGTCAGGCCTTCCACTTGTGGAACCAGCTGCCAAGTAGGGTTAAGGAAGTAGACACACTTTATGTAATAATGACTTTCCTACTGGACACACTGAAACATCTCTGTTGTGTTGCTAAAGGCCAAGAAAACAGATGCACTACTCCTCTCATTCATGCAAAGTAGCTTTTATGTAGAAATTGTTGTCATGAACTTATATTTCTTTCTTTTTTTTATTAGCTTCCATATGTCAAGTTTGTGGGTAACCATCTGTGCCTTGAGATGTTGTTTGGCGTTGAACTATTGAAAATGAATTCGCTCTCAGAAAATCTCTTAATTCATCTTACAAGAACAATATTCCATTAGCAGAGACTGTGTTCCCACACAACATTTCAAAAAACCCCACACAGCTTTCACATAAATTTGAATTGTGACGTCCAAGAAAAATTTTAATCCGTTTTAGGTGGCATGCTTAGGTTATAGGAACTTAAAGATGTACTTTGAAATAAAGGAATCCAAAACTCAGATTTTATCTTTAAGTAATTTAAAGAATGTGAGTGTAGGAGGTGCTGATGATTCTCTAAATACTGAACAAGTTGCAGGGAGGATTTGTGGTCGTAAAAGAGACCTCACTGGTTTGCCGACAGATGGTTACAAATGTGATTGTTTGATTGAATGCATCAGTGATTCAAACCTAAATCAAAATACGGTCACTACATCTGCCTGAACTCTCACATGCACTACAATACACATATGTGCACGCACCCACCACAGAATGCTCATTATCCATAACCGCTAGTATGGGGGTGACGGGGCATGGGAACAAAAGCATGAAGTGGAAGTGAGTCCTTTAATTATAGGCTAATGTTTCCACAATTCTCAGTGAACCAGGGGACAAAAGATGAATTTTGTAATGCTTAACTTGCTGAATTAACACATATTCTTCAAGTATGACAAAATACAGCCCCTCTTTAATAAAGCCAATGGTCGCATTGTGTAAATGGCAGTAATAATTACCCATCTTGTAACTAAGATCGGTGTTTCTCGTCCCAGTTAATGCTTAAGTAACGAAAGTCAATGACAGTATTTCTAAGCTCTAAACAAAGTAATATAATGATACTAATTTGATAATCAGAATTATATTTAAAACTGAAATGTTAAAAATTATGATTTGCCTGACACCATTAGAAATTAAATCCATAAAATCAGGCTGTCAAGAGAAAGACTTTTTCTAAATCTATTCAATTTTCAATTGATCTTCTTTTACTCATCCTTGGTTAGTACCGGTGATAAAAAAGATAATAAACTATTAACAGATGTGTCTAAAGATCAGAAACAGCCATAATAAAGTGCAGTTTGTGGCATCATGGTGAATAAAGATGTGACACAATTACCAGATTCTTACATGTTCATCTAATATTCAAAGTTAGACTACAATTGGACTTTTGACATAGTAACTTTTATGTAAAAAGGCTCATTACTGCAAGGCAAGAGAAAGGGTTGCTAGTAAAAACTGGTGTTTAAAATGGATAAATACTAGATAGCTCCTTATTGTGTTGTTATGATGTATGCATGTTTCTATATTGTGGGGATCAAGGACCATGGCAGCATATTGGTCAGCTAAACAGAAAAATCTTCACCAACACATACAGTTGTGTCAATATATATCCTGAATAGTTACAATGTCTCTGAAACTTAAATCTTAAAAGTAGAATTCTATTGAAAACTACAAATTAAGTTGCTTTCTCATATGCCACTGGTCTAGAAGATCTTGTGAACATTTTATTTTCAAACATCAGAGTGAATGTGTATGCTGCAAGAGAGAGATGAAAATAAATGTATTTGAACTTTTAACTTCTGTTCAGAAATCCATCATTTCTGAGTAAGATGTAAAAGCTTCTATCATACTCTTTAAAGACAATCTTCAGTAACTACAGGTTAATCAAGGAGCTGATGAATAATTATTGCACAAGATTATTGTCTATTATGACCCTTAACCATTCCTATCTCAACTTTCTTTTCCACCAAAGTAGTGGCAAAATAATCTTCAGAAGACAATCTGTGCTAACAAGGAAGACTTACTGAAGTGAAATTATCACTACAAAAGTTCACCACAACAAAGGGTGGACTGCAGCTTAGCCTACCTCTCAAAAACATCACTATCAGATCTCTCCTCACAGGGCCTTCCTGAAAATAGCTTTAACAGGACTCAAACACAAGCAAGTATCGTAAATCTTAACTTAATCCATATGCTTGGGTCTCATAAAAATAATAAGAGAGAAGAAAAAAGAGAAAGAAATAGATTTAAGTCCAAAGGAAAGGCTGAAACTTCAATGACTTAAGGCAGCTGGTTAACAGTGGTTGCCAGTTTTCTGCTGTTTACAGAAAGTAATTCTCCAAAGAGGGTGCCAAATAAAGAACCCGAAAAGGAAGATAATGAAAACAGATATTTATATTTTAGATTATAGACATAAAAATTACTTGGTATCTACTACAAATAATTTCTTAGCGTTTAATCATGATTACGAAAAAATACAAATATAGATAAAATATCTTTTTATTCGAGTAGAACAACTGGCATCATTGTGAAATATTTGTGTAAAAACTGAAAAGAAAACGAAAATTAATTTAATCTAATTAAACTTGTTACGGAGCTGTATTATGCTGTCCTATATGAGCTTTGTATGCTGGCTTCCAAGTGAAAACAGATTTATCACACAATAAAGTGTGCTGTTTTCACGAGTGCTTCTCAATGGTCACATAGTCTGACATAAACTTTAAAGTACGTACTTTGCAGTCTACTTTTGGGTGCAGTGACGTAAGTCAAATGAATCAAATACAACACTTTGACATGTGAGACTGGGGTCCTTGTCCTGTTTAGTTTAACCATGTTTCATATGACTTTTATAAAATCTGAATTTATCTAACTTTTTAAAAGTTTTGTTTCATTTTTAGACTTAAAATCTGGAGCGGTTATGTACCAGCAAAAGACCAAAGATAATACAAATCGTAAAGTGTTACATTTGAATGTTTCATATAAGCTAAAGCAATACACAAACACAATAAGCCGACCCAGTCAACTTCACATGGCAAGCTTATCAATCACAGCTGAAAACATCTGAGACAGACAGTTATTGTTAAAAACTAAAAGTCCCTTATGGAGCTCGCTCATTCATTTTGTTGCAGATCTATGAAACAGTTAAGAAATGGCCCCTGGAATAGTGTGTGATCAGATTCAAGTGGTTTAACTACATGAACAATAAAATCCCTTTTATAATGCTCCCCTGAAATTGGCTCTGAGTGTCATTTGTCACCTTAACTGTTCTTGGAATGATCTCTGATGTTTTGTTTTAGTAAGTTCTATGTAAGTTTAATAGGGACGGGAAAAGGTTGGGCTGGCTCCTGTTCTATAAACTGATTAAGAGGTTTCACCTACATAAAGTCACATTGTTAAGAAGTCATGGATCTGCTGGGATTATGCCGGTTAAAAAATGGAAAAAAGTAGGATAAAATTCGGTTTGCCTTGTTGAACAAGAAACTGAGGTGTGATTGCAGCTGCATAGGGAATTAACAGCCTGGCAAAAGATAATTAGGATGATATCTGTTTTATACCCAGATGAAGCGACGTTCCACATTGAAATACAAAAATACATTCTTCCTAAATGGTAACAATACATATGATCCTGAATTGATGCTTTGTGTATACTGATCAGCTGGTTAGTAGTGGTAGTTACATGATACCCAAAAGTATCAAAAAGCGTTAGGGAAAAGCACTAAAACAATCACAACTGTTGAACAAACACATTTAACTGTGCTGTAAAGGGTATTTTTGTCTACTTTAACTTCTGACTTTTTTACAGTCAAGCTAAAGAAACTCTACTGGTAACACAGCAAAAGCCACATAGACAATCCCTAAGTGCAAGGACATCAAGATGTGTTTGTGATGCAGACAGAGAACTATGAACTACAGGGAACAATCTTAAATAGGCCTTTTTCTTTTGAATGTGCAAATGTATACAACCTTGCACTTTCACATTTATTCAAAGACCCCAGGTCTTTTTTTCAGGACAAAGTGATTGTGAAACCCCTTTAAAAAGAAGGAATCAAATAAAGCCATCAATGGGGGAAAAAAACTGATTTATGAAGTATCAGGAATTTCAACTCCATGGCAACACAGAAAACACTAAGTTTGCCAGGGATGTTGAATAGGAAGTTAAGTGGCGAGAGACACTTATAACCTTTCATCAATTCATCTAGCCTTGAGTCATTAACAGACTAAAAAAAGTAAAGTTGCAATAAAGGGGTCAAAGTCCTATTCACGAATTCTGAAAGATTTTTGTTTTCCTTTCAGCGGGATTTAATGACATCAAGTTCATCACTTTGAATCAATAGAATTTTTTTTCCATGTCTCAATGATGATGTCACTCTACTCCCACAGCCTCTATGCCTCTCTTCTTTATCATCAGAGCACTGCTGTGCAGCCAGTCATTCAGCCAGCGGCCTGTGTGGCAGTTTTGAGACCTACTGTGGCTTGAGTTGCCTCAGTGTGTTGTTGTGTTTTATCTGTGGGAGCTGTACTGTGCCATGCTGATGTGTCCAGGGCCAAGGCCCTTTCCTATTGTCTGCTGCCATATGGAAGCCAGAACCAACATGGAGATAAGCCTGTCCTCATGCTGTTCCCTGACCTTCTTGGGGCCCCAGCTGGCACTATACACAGAAATAATTATTATCCAAATGATACAGGCTGACTCTGTCCCCTTTTTGTGCACTGAGGGTAAATTAAAGAAAGACGGGGGTCTTTTTAAGGGCCAGGGAAGATACCGCAGATGGGCATCTCTCATGAAAGAAACAACTCAGAGGTTCGTAACCAAGTGCTTACAATAAAATGTATCTATTAAGGGAGCTAATAGAACATGTATAATTGCTGATATTGTTCACCACAAGTTAATGGGTTGTGACCCATTCTCAACTCTCACCGTTAAGAAAATATTCAATATTCTTTTCCAAAATAGGTTGAAAGCAAATAAATGGTCATTAATTCTCAAGTGGACATTTAAAAACAAGTAATATTTATATGTACATGCATACCTACAAATATTGCCACTGGTAATATAAAATGAATGGCATGAAAAAAAAAATTAAATACCTTTTTCTGTTATTGCCAGCCCTTTCATTTAAATGTTTCTATTTTCACAAACTTTACTTCATACCAAACTAAATGTTTAGGAGTAAAGAAAGAAACAACACAGTCGACCAGATTCGGATATAGAGCCAGGGCTGAATGAATTTCCCATGAGTAAACCCCTTAATAAATGTAAAAGGAAAGAACATTGTGACTTATTTTCTATATCAAGAATTAAATTAATTTAAAAAGCAGGTTGGTGAACAGCCTTCTTGCTGTCTAGCCATGTACATTTGCTCAGTTTTGTTCACTAAATGGCTTTGAACATGGAGTGATGAATTGAATTGTCCTGTGTTGGCAAGCGTGAAGCTGAAGTAGATGTTTCATTCAGCCAGGAAAGTTAACCAAGTCCACTTTTAATTAAGGAAATCTTGGCAACTCAGTATTTAACAAGTGGAATGGTGGAGAGGCTTTGCGATAACTGTTTAATGTTAACTTTAAGGAAAGGACGACAAAAGCTGAACTCCATGAGAACTGTCTAGATGTTCTTGTAAATACTCATACTAAAAAACAGGCCACTTGTTTCCTAATCACTTCTCACATTAAAGAGATGTAAGAGTCTGAACCTGTAGTTGCTGATGGGGCTTTTAGGGCCTCTCATGACTTGTCAGGACTGTCATCCTTCTGTCTGTCTGCATGTGCGTGTGCTTGCAAAATAAAGACATGCTTTGCTGCTAGAGACATTGGGAGCATGGACATTCTTTTTTCCATTATATTGTTATGTCAAGATAAAATGGTTTCTGAGTTTCTGATAGCCATGCTTCCCATCACCACATTTTGTGTATATATAAGTGTGAATGTCGATGTGCATTTTGAGGTGATAAATATGACACAAACACAAGCAATGACTGGTGTCTCAGCAGGGGTTGCAGAGGCATCAAAGTGAATCTCAAAGACATTCATCTCCCTTCAGTGGCGAAGCACAGCGCTCACCCGCTGCAACATTAGTGTGGATATTGAGTGTGAATGTATTTGGGTTCTTTGTAAAATCCATAACACAAAATTACTTCTCAGAGAGTTTGACCTCCCATCTGTCAGGTGCTGGTGGTGCCCTATTTGTTTATGTTTCATCTGCTCAGAAATAGAAACTGTGATCCTGCTGAAATGGACGGCATCATAAAGTGCCTTGCAAGTTTAAATATTCAAAGATTATTCTATCTATAAGTGAGAGAGTCTGTGAGTCTGACACAAGATGAACATCCAATATCTAAACTGACCCCACCAGCTGTAAACACTGGTTTGTGTGTCTTGTGTACACATGATTTGCAGCATATAGTACTAACAGATGTCTTAAAGATCCAAGAGGTCCAGTGTGATGAGAAAATGGATGAAAAATATGTGTCTGAACTCACTCCACATGCCTGGATATCAGCTGCCATTCTGAAATAAGGCAGGGTAAGGTCAGAAGACTTTGCAATTCAGTATTCCAGGAGAGTCCGGGTAAAAAGGATATTTGAAAGCATGAAATTGTTCTAAAAGATGACATTTCTGTGAGACAAATGACTTACAGGATACCTGAGCATTTGATGGTATCACAGAAAGAAGAGGTTGACCCTATGTTGTCACTGGGAATTGTTGAGCTCTAAAGAAGAGAGTTGCTGCAATCCGAGGGCCCTGGTTCCAAAGAATTACAGCACAATTTGACTCATTTCCAACACCCAGCATCAAAATCAATGACAGGGTGGAGCACCTTCAAAAGGCCATATATCTAACCACCATAGATCTCAGAAAGGGTAGTTGACATGTACCACTCACTGAGTACTTGAAAGAGATAACTGCCTTCTGGACTCGATTTGGCCTGTTTCAGTTCACAGTTATGCCTTTTGGAATGTACGGTGCCCCAGCAGCATTCCTGAGGCTGATAAATGATGCCCTGTCTGACAGGCTGGATTTAGCTGCAGCTTACGTTAATGATATAGGGATTTTCAGTTCACGATTTCAGGATCATCTCAGATATGTGGATATGTATCTGAATGACTTAAATCTGCCGGGCTCACTGTTAATTTGGCAAAGACTGATCTGGCCAAGGCTATAAGGGAAACGTAACTAAATAGAGTAATTCTAGACACCAATAAATGAATAAATGTCGGGGAAAAAAAGCGTTCAGCTGGAGTAAATACAAGTTTGGATAGAGTTTGACTTGATGGACAATGAGCTACAGGAAAGTTACGTCAACGATGAGCATTTTTCAAAAAACAGGCATACATTTAAAAATAATCTTACTTTCTATTAACTTAAAGAACAAGAACTGCTTTCACCTAAAATTTGTTGGAGGTAAACAGTAAAAATCCCTTCACTGACAGAAATCCTGGCTAAATTGTTACCAACGTGGATGTCATTGGAACATAACAAAAAGTACTACTTTTTTTATTCATCCGTTGAAATAGTGAGACTAGCTGATTTTTTGATCGATTTCAAACAACCTAAGAGGGTTGATCACAGAACAGCCCACTATCGACCCATGTACATGGTGTGCAACGGTGCACATGCACTGTGCACCACTGGTAGAAATAAATCATGTGTTAAAATTATATTCTGATGTGGAGCCTTGAGTGAATATTGATTCGTAATTATTTGTACTAACGGTGGTGAGGGAGGAACGATGCCATCCATTACTGTGTGAAAATAGACAGGGGGATCAATGTGAGTGGGATAAGGACTGTGGTGAGAAGCATGGTGGCCATTCCTCTGTCAAAGACAATCATTAGCCCGGGTTGAAGAGAACGCACCCCCTTCATGACTAAGGCTTGCCTTTACAAAGCTGAGGGTAAATTATATTCTATCCACACAGGAAAAATTGACCTCACTGCTCTTGTGGCGGCAGAGCAAGCTTTGTAATAGCAGTCTCTGGGCTGAGGGCAATCATCCGGTGCTTTTCTGCCCCTCTCTGTGTTCTGTTTTTTATCCTGTGACACATATCTTGCCACTTGTAGTTGGATTTCAAACCAAAGGAAAGGCTGTAATGACACTATTGTGTCAATCACATGCTATATACATACACAGTAAAAGTGGAAACGTCAATCTGGCCTTGTATTACAGCTGTCATACAGACATATGTCACCAAAGTGGATAATGATTTCCACTTTCTGACAAAACAGGAAAAGTATTTTGTATTTTCTGTATACTATATTGTTTGAAGTAAAATGAATTTACTACACTATGATGTCTGAAAACGCAGCATATAACATTATCAAAGAATTCTATGAAAAATTATCCACACGATAGATTTAAAGGAAGTTAACATAAGTTTTCACATACTAATGTTGAACCAGTCTGATTTTTTCTATATAAAACTCTGGAAGTTGAAAAAACAAAGCAACAGAAAATAAAAACTACATTCTCTTGAGTTGGAGTTTAGGGAAACTATAATGCTAGCTATCAAAGAGAATTAACCCAAGCCTGCAGTCCCAGAGAATATAAACCTGCTTAGGTACCTAAAATGTACACAGACAACCAGATATACACAAGCAAAGAAATAAAGACGATCTTATAGTCTCATTATGATTTGATAGCTCAAATTGATGCAATGATTCAAGTGTAATCCAGTGGGTATTGTGAATAAACCCAGAGCCTCTTATTTCCCCACTGGGCACCAGAGGAAAGGAAAGGATTGCAGTCAACAAAATGACCATCAAATCACAGGCAATAAAGCCAATCTTGACTGCGAAAAGAGTATGGACCTGCTGGGTGACCTGAAATGTGTGTGAGATATGATGTAGTTTTTTCTCAGATGTACATTGTGGCCCCCTTTGTTGGTTTAAAAAAAACATAAAACTTGTTTTAGGTCAACGGATAACAAAATACACAAAGCATAAAGTATGTGATAATCTATAAACACCGGGGCCAATTTTGTATGGATAAATTTGGTATATTTCCATGAAGCATTATTATTGTGTTTTTCTTTTTATTTTTCCACTCTTCAAATTGTAGAAACGCATAACAATAATTACGAAGACAAACTAAATGACACGGTGTCTTTAAATACAGTTACAGATTTGTCAGTGGTTGTTTAAATTTATATTTTTACTGTGTAAATATAAAGTACATGATGGATTCAACTATGCGCTGAAAAAATTAGCTTTTTTTCTGATGTGGTAGTGTGTGTTTATTTTTGAGCGTGTAGAACATGGCATTTGCTTTTAAGGTACACACAGCTTTTAAGGTACACACAGCTAATAAATGTATAATTCTAATAGTGATATGGGCTCTATTAACTATTCCCTATCTGCTAGAGGTTCTGTAGTTGAAGCTGATTGAACACTTGACTTATTTTGTTTGTTAAACAGGCAGTGTTAAAGAGCATGCAATGTGGTTTGCCATGGATTCTATCAAAAACTAAGAGCTGATGCTAGCTTTCTATCACGGTTTGATGAACACTGCATGGAAGGAGAAAGCTCAAGCTGTTCAAAAGTCATGCCACCTGTTGCTTCTCTCCTAGGCAGAAACTACATGCACTGGGTGGAGGATGTGGGTTTCCTTGGGGGACCTAAGGTGCACATGGTGGTTAGCTTCCTACTATTATTCT